TTGGGCCCTCAGCGGCAGTCGCAAATGGACTCTCGTCGAAGCGAACACTCGGCACACCTTTGTCGCTTTTAATACTTCGTCTGATGGTTTCAGGACAAGCGCTTGCACGAGTTGCGATCGGGACAAACTGCAATATAGACTGGCGGCTCGGTATTCCCAGCTTCCTTGAGATACAATTCGGGAAAGATATCTTATTCTCTTATGCTTGTCTTCGAATCGGACGCACTTTGCGAGGATCGTTCTAGCAAGTCGAGAACAAAGAGTTCCGTTAGCACATCTACGATGCACGTTGCCTCTTGCGTCTGCTGTATGTGTGCTCGGGAGGAACTGGTTTCACCGAAATGTTGTTCTTCGGGCCATCTGCCGCAGATGCGAGCTGATATTCCTCGAAGTAGCCCACAAACACTGGACACATCCTTCTCGCCAATACAGCTTCAGCGCGCGAGTTGAGAACAAACTTTTGGCATGAATTTCGGTCAGGACAAATCGCAATGTAGATTGGTGGTATGGTCATATTCGCGCCACCGAAAATCGCATTCATCTCATTCATATGCGTACTGCTGATTTTATGCTTTTCTGCGACAGTCACTTGAAGGTACGCCACGCCGCCTGACTCAAGCTTCACAATGCTGTCAATGTTGGGGAAATTGTCGCACGCAGGAAACCAATAAGTGAGATTGGTATTGTCCCGCCATTCTTCCAAATAAGGCTTGTACTCGCTTGACTCTCCTGAGGTCCCCCATTGAACAGCAGTACCTGTTTTGAGAAGCACTGGCTTGAATTCATAACCACGAGGTTCATTTGGTTTCCTATATGTCGGTGGATCATATTCGGAGATGTGAAGTCTCAACATGTTGTCAGCAGCTAGACTGTGTACATAGACCTCAAAAACGCTTCCAGCAAGTGATCCATGTTTAGCGCTTCGAGCCCATGCATAAATTCGAAACAGCGCGTCCGATCGCAGCCGGATAGAAAGTGTAAGAACGGCATATTCCGAGTCGATGACTTGCTCCCAATACCGCCTGGCGATAAAATGATTTGTGTCATCAGCATCTTTGACGAATGTATGGCGCAATCGATCAGCTTGCGACGTCCCCGTCAATACACTGGAGTTGTTGGAGAGCAGGTTTGAGATATCATCCACACCACTGATCGCATCATCAATTGCGCTGCGTATGTCCTCCGATGTAGCAAGTGTAAATTCACGCACGCTTCCGCCAGAATAGTAGAATCGTTCTTCCATATCCTTAGTGGCATACTGGTAAACGAGGTTTCCCACTAGCCACAGATCCTTCTTTGCCCAACAAGACAATAGGCAGCAATACGCATCAACTCGTTCTTGAGACTTCAGATTCACTTGCTGGGACGTTGCCAGCATCTTGAAAGTCCGCACACCTTCCGGAATATCTTGGTACCGGAATCCATCCAACAACAGCCATACGTTCGA